CGTTCACATTTCATATATATATATATATATATATATATATATATATATATATATATATATATGAACGCCTGACGATTGCGCTAGCATGAAAACAGCCTGTCGCCTCTGAATGTTGACTTCAATGTTCACTTTTATATATATATATATATATATATATATATATATATATATATATATATATAGTGACGTGCCAAAAAGGTTTTAGTGTTGTATTAGGCAAAAGTAAAGGTGGGTGGCAACACAGTTCATACCTATTTTATTTCGCATATCTTTTTAATTACTTAGAAATTACTCTTCTGTTTATTTCTTTCATGTGTGAATTTTTTCAACTCGAAATTGTTGTCCCATGGGTGTATCTTTTCCCTGAAGATATTCTCATGGGCTTCATCTAATGATGATTTGATTTTTCTATGGTTTGATCAAGGTTTACTGACATCATTTTGGACTCTAATTTTTTACTGAATTCTAAATTTACCGTTTTATTTGTAAGGGCTTCAATGTTATAACTTGGAGTTTTTTTCTTGGTTTATGTGGGCGGAAGCAAGTTATTTTGTGTTCTAGTGTTGTCAGTTTAGTTAGTATGTCAGTTAGTTGTATACTCTAACGTCTGTCACAAACTGCATAATCCAAGAATCTAAGATGCTGAAGTTAATAATCTTTTTTTTCACATTATCTGGGTGGTGATTCATGGGATGTTCAAACTATGTGTTAAGGATGGAATAATTTATTGACTAACAAACTTTTAGCAAGAGTTCCCCATTGCTTTTTGATGCTTCTATTTCAAAGGGTGATGTCTTCTTACCGCCAAAGGGGCAGTGGCGTTTAAAAACACTTGAGATAGAATTAAAATCTCCAGTTTACTGGTGGGGGGTGTTCTAATATACAAAGTTTATTTAACCCTGTTTAGAATTTCACTTGGAGCATTATCTGATACCACTCGAGCAACAATATCAGCAGTCATCAGTAATTCTTACTTGTGTACGATATTGTCTATTATAATATCTGGTGATTTGCCTATTACAATTCCAACTCTATGTTGCCTTTTCTCCTTTTGGTCAGTCCAAAATAAATTGTTCCCCTAATGAGTAATGAGGCCACAACCTATTCGGCGCACCTCTTGCATACAGACAACATCAAGGTTTGCTTTCTTACATTCTTCTGCATAGGGGTCTTTGGATAGAAGTAGCACCTTTCATGTCTGGTATGCTTCACCTTCGAGTGGACGGCTATCACTTGACCCCAACCATCTCCTAAATTTCTCATGTGATGGTTTACAAGTTAATATGGCCCGGTAAACCGTTTCAGCTGGTTCGCTAAACTAACGCGAGGAGGGTGGTGTTAACACACCACTAGGCGAAGGACCTCCCCGACGCAGGTCACCGACCAAGTACGGAAGGATTCCTCAGATGAACTATAACGGCCACGTGTTCGGGACCAAGGCGAGCCGCCAAGTTGGAGGACATCGGCTGTGGTCTAACATGGAGAGAGCATGCTTGCAGCCTTGTGCCACATCTAAGCTGTTTTAGTAAATCATAAGGGCAATTCGATATGGTGTACTTTTCTAGCATGCTTGTCTTCAGTTACAACTGAATAGTGAGTTCTAATTGGGTGCCCCACACTCGTCGGCTTGAGTCACATCTAATCTACGCTTAGCAAATAATTATATATAACTATACAGCGTAAAGCTTTTTAATTATTTACAAGCATATACCTCTGCATAGCCGTGTTTGTACATGTATATGCTTAATTATAAATGCTAATGTATATAGACACTACATGCAAAACGTTTGAGACCACCATTCATTTCTTTAAAAAAAACACCTTAAGATATTTTTGTATTTTTTTTTAAAGTAAAACATAAAATTTTCCAAAAATTTCTAGTGTATTTCCTTCTATTTTTCCGTCCTTCTCCAGGTTCTTCTACTAAAAAGGTCAAATTTGCATTCATTTGTCCATCGTGTATTTTGCTACATTATAAATATTTTGTATGAGAAAAATTGTATTTTTTTTCACTATTAAAACTATCATATAACCTATCAGTAGACTTTTTGATATTTAAACAAATATTTAAATGTTAATATAGGTTCTAAATGTTAATTCAGCGCTGACTAATGTTGTAAACAAAACTTATGTCGCTGTTTCTGTCTGGAGGAAAAATTTGTGCTATTTACGACATTTTTTTTTTTTTTAATTTTGAAGTAATTTGCAAAATTAATGCGACTATGAATTGAGATGAGGACACAAATTGAAATTTTATTCAAAGAAGGTTACTCGCAAAGAAAAATTGCCAATAAGTTGAAGATTTTCTAGGGGTGCAATATTTGTTACAAAAAAAAAAACAGCTGCAAATGTTGAGAGATAAAGAACTGGAGAAGCAAAGGTGACAACTTCTGCTGAAAATAAACACTTGATTATTGTGAGTAAAAGAAATGGAATGAAAAATGATCCAGATTTGACAGCTGAACATATTTACACTCGCTAACAATTAATGTTGCTCTCAACTGTGAAAAATCGACTTAGATCAGCGGGGTTCCGGGGTGCATAGCCATCAACAAACCCGATACGGAAGGTGAATAAACAGAAAAGACTGTTATAGCCAAAATAGCATAGGAACTGGATAATGAAAGAGTGACAACATCTATTGTTGACTGACGTGTCCAAATTTGAATATTTTGGTTGTAAGAGAAAAGTGAATGTGAGAAGAAAGCCAGGAGTAAGACTGAATAATGAATGCGCGGTTCCATCAGTTAAGCATGGTAATGAGTCGGTTATGGTGTGGGGTGTTTTGGAGAAGAGAGAGTTAGAGATTTGATTCAGGTCAAAGGAATCATAAAAAAAAACGATATCATTCGATTTTGCAAAGACATGCTATGCCATCTGGTTTACGCATAACTGGAAAAGTTCATCATTCGATAAAGCAGCGTTGCACAACACGCTAAATTATGAAAAAAAATTACACTTTTGGAAATTATGACTTGGCCACCTCAACTTTCTGACCTTTCTCCCATTGAATTAGTATAGAATGAATTGGATAGGAGAGTTCGAAGATAATTCTCAGAGTGAGCATTTTCAGTGTTTGAAGAATGCTTGGGAAGGTCTGCGATCTAATTTTTTTCAAGAACTGTTTGAAAGGATGCCAAGAATTTGTAAAGCAGTAATTGAGGCAGGTAGTGGTTTTATTGACGAAAACAAAATATGATGCTTTTGTATGATAATTTTTTATAATTAAGTGTTTTTGTCATAATAAAAGTATAGACACTCTAGTTACTGAAATTTATCTTTTACTTTAAAAACAAGTACAAACATATCCCAGTTTAAGGTGTTTTAAAGAAATGTAGAATGCCCCCAATTTTTTGCTTGTTTTGTATATATATATATATATATATATATATATGTGTGTGTGTGTGTGTGTGTGTGTGCGCTCGCGCGTGTTTGAGTATACACACTGCTCGATAGATAGTCAAATAAAAACTACCTTACTATGAATAGTAAGTTACCATGCTCTTTTCACAAGCCATTACTGCTCAGTTTTTATATTATTCGGACTATCACCTTTATCCAATGTGCCATGTGTCCTTGGCACAGTGACAGGACACAAAGGGTGTGAGTTCAATACCCGGTTAAGGCAGTGTAGTATTTGAGAGGGGAATTAACAGGAGCGAACTAATAACTGACATCCATTAAACATGGCACGTGGAACTAGAACAGTCTACCCCAGGGAGCGAAATAAAGTGTTCAGTTCGACATTCCAAACTGAAGAAGGCCGGAGCCTACAACGGCCGAAACATTGTAATAAGTATGGCGACAAAGATGAGGACAATAGTCCGAATAATGTAAATAGTGTGCATAATACCTCAGGTCATAAATATAGACAGATGTCATTACTGCTGTAATATATATATATATATATATATATATATATATATATATATATATATTGAAGTGGACACTGAGGTCAACACCGCGGGGAGCAACACTGTTTCGTGCTTGCACGGAAACTTCCGGCTTAAAGATTGGGTTGACGTATGAAACAAGCTCGAAACTAGTTATTGACCTCAGTATCCATATATATATATATATATATATATGTGTGTGTGTGTGTGTGTGTGTGTGTGTGTGTGTGTGTGTGTGTGTGTGTGTGTGTGTGTGTTGCCCTGTTGGATTTGGCCGCTAGATGATGTTTGTACCGTAGTCTTAAATTGAGGCTCATGGTCAGTCAGAATAGCCTGGGTAGGCCGCTGCTTCTAAAGGGTCTTTTATTAGAACCAAGGGTATAATATAGAATCAATAATATTGCACGAGCTCAAATAAATGTAGAATAAGTGGTTAATCTTTTTGTTTTTAATCATTTTACCCAAAGCAAAGTGAAAATGCTACTAAGACGCAGGGGGTTAATGGGTGTGGAAAAGAATGGTAAAACTTCACTGAGGAGAAAGGGCAATGAAAGAACAGCATTCAGACAGACACAAAATGGCGACTGACGTTTTATTTAAATTTTTGAAGATAGCGATTGACGTGTCAGGGAAGCAAGAAATCGGAAGCTTTTGTATAATCTTAGCTATGAATACTATTATTTTTCTGTTCACCAGGCGAGTTCCTCTTTCAAAATATTAATCTTTTCTGTTAAACGTTGAGCCTTCATCTTATTTAGCTGGACAAAAGCGAATACTCAGCGCGGCAGCTTATTTTTTTCTTCATCTTCTTATCACTGAATGATCGATTAGTTGCCAAAAGCCGAAGTAATTTTTGAAATGCATTCAGCATATAAAATTATGTGTAGCTTCAATTTCTTTCAAAGACCGTTTCAACATCGCAGAAGTGAATCTTCTTCTTCTTCTTCTTCTTCTTCTTCTTCTTCTTCTTCTTCTTCTTCTTCTTCTCCTCCTCCTCCTCCTCCTTCTTCTCCTCCTTCTCCTTCTTCTTCTTCTTCTTCTTCTTCTTCTTCTCCTCCTTCTTCTTCTTCTTCTCCTCCTTCTTCTTCTTCTTTGTGCCGTGTCCCTTCAAGAGGAGGAAGTGGAAGAGAATAAAGGAATAAGAAAAGCGTGAAAGAGAAGAAAGAGGAAAAAGAAGAAAGACCGGTAAGAGTAGGATGAGGATATGTGGAAGAAGAAGAAGAAGAAGAAGAAGAAGAAGAAGAAGAAGAAGAAGAAGAAGTGTAGTAAGTAAACTGAAAACGAAAAAGACAAGAAGAAGGGGAGGGGTAGTAAAGAAATTGGAATCGAAAAAGAGAAAAAGAAGAAGAAGAAAATACGTACATTTAGGAGATTAGGTAAAATATACTCTCGTTTCTGTATCCAGATTTGAAGAGAGGGTGATTAAGTACGTATTCTTCTATGTGCCTTGACTCTTCAGGACGTTGGCGATCATGTCTCTCCACAATTTCTTCAGCTATTAATAAATTTTGCCATATGTTTACTCTCCTAGAACTTGTTCCGCCATCCATTTACTCAAGCTCGCTAGCCAGGTTACGCGTTACTTCACTCAAACTGTCCTGTGAGTATCAAATTTTCCAACCCCTCTTTCCTCATTATGCGCATTAGAGCATTTTAACTGTCTCTTCCCTGTGTTAAGTATACGTGTTATTTTCATTTTCACTTTCTCTAAAAGTCCATTTACACGTTCGTTAGATAAGTTATGTATTGTTTTCCTCTATCCCTCTTGCTTTCGATCTGACCCGTGAGTATCAAATTTTCCAAGCCCTCTTTCCTCATTATTTTCTTTGGAAATTCAACTGTCTCTTCCTGGTGTTAATTATAAATGTCCTTTTTTATTCCATTTTCTCTAAAACTTTGTCGTTGCTCACATTGTTTTCTTGGCATCTTTCTATAGAAGCTGCTTTCTGTTGCTTCAAGTCTCTTCTTCGTCTGTAAGATTGTCCAACTTTCACTACCATATAGAACTGATATTACTTAACCGTTCAGTACTCCCTAGAGTTTTCTAAAATATCTGTGTTCTGTCGGTGTTTTGTCAGCACAGAGAAAATGGTGGAGTAGTTGCCTCATTCACAAGATGAAATTGCTTCCCATTAAAGATTACGGGACGACATCAAGACCATCCTTCCCTGAAGCTCGAAGCGTTGACATAAAGATAAAAATGTCAGCAGCAACAATGATGTCAGCAAGTTGCCTTGGTGACATAGAACAAGATAGACTATACAGGTCACACGCTTTCTCTCAATGACATATCAGCGTCGTTGTTGGACATTATTACCGAATCTAATTTGATTGGTTTATTGCTGAAACATCGTGAATGGGATGAGCCAAATGAAGACATATTAGAAATGATAGATAGATAGATAGATAGATAGATATAAACAGGCTGACATAAACAAGATAGCTAGCTAGCTAGCTAGCTAGCTAGATAGATAGATAGATAGATAGATAGATAGATATGATTAATCTATTACAAAGACATAGATAGATAGATAGATAGATAGATATGATTAATCTATTACAAAGACATAGATAGATAGATAGATAGATAGATAGATAGATAGATAGATATATAGAAACAAAAAGACATAAAAAAAGATAGATAGATAGATAGATAGAGAGATAGATAGATAGATAGATAGATAGATAGATAGATAGATAGATAGATAGATATGATCAGTCTATTACAAAGAAATGGAGAAATGAAGATAGATAGATAGATAGATAGATAGATAGATAGATAGATAGATAGATCTGAGCAGTATGATAGATAGATAGATAGATAGATAGATAGATAGATAGATAGATAGATAGGCAGGCGTATATGAAGAATGATTAAGTTGAAATTGGTAAATGTAATCATAGGTTGTATGCTAACAGTCTCTCGCACTCTTTTCCGGCTTCCTGAATTCCAATCAACTTTGATCTTCAAAAAAATAAATGTAATGTCAATGGCCATCGTCTGTCCCTTTGAATCCTGTTCTTTCATTGTCCTTTCTCCACAATAATGATTTTTCTCATTTCTTTCACTCCCGGTAACTCCTTGCGTCTTAGTAGCTTTACCACCTTGTTTAAGTTTCAATGATTGCAAAGATGATATCGAGTAAATATCGGATTCATGATACTGGCTCACTAACCCCCCCCCCCCCGTGATGAGTCGGAATCTTTCTCAGATAAGAAACAAAATATATGGGGACAGCTCGAAATTCACTTATCAATCTGGAGTCAACTAGATTGATTTTTTTTTCTTTGTAGTGCCGCTTGACGCAGTTCAGTCCAGTTTGCGAGGGCAGTTTTGTGCGTATTATATACATTGGACGATTTTAATGATTCTTCTTCTATGTGCCGTGATCCTTCAGGAAATGGGTGAAAATGGTTCTCCACAACATCCTGTCTTTCGTAGCTCTTAATAAATTCTGTCTTTTTGTTATCTTCCATAAACCTTGTTCCGCTATCCATTTAGGGGAGGTCGCTTAGGTAGGCTACGCGTTGTTTTTCTTCTCTGACCCCCCCACTTCTGTCATGTGAGTGTTTGTCATTTGGCTATCTCTCCTAATCCCTGTTCTGCCAACCATTTACACGCGCCCGTTACGTAAGTTATTAGCTGCTTTCCGCTGTCTCTCTTGTCTTCAGTATGTCCCGTGAGTGTTAGATTTTAATGGCTATGCTGACACAATCCCCCACTGTCAGATTCAGTAGAATCATTTTAAACAAAGTTGATTAATTATTATTCATTTCTAAAGTCTATTATTATTATTATCATTATTATTATTAACCTGTATTCATACAGTAACGTGGAAAAAAATATCTTGCCCTATTTATAAAACTGGAGCGTCATCCCTTAATGAAGAAACCATGTCAGCATGAATTTCTTTGGGGCTAAATCATTTCCTGCTATTTCACTTGATAAAACCATGAGGCAAAATTTTGTCTATTTTCAAGAGAAGTCGTTAATACTTACTTTTAAAGTCTTCTTTGAACAGTCAAATGTCAGTTTACCTGGAAATAAGCAAATCACTTATTAATTAATTTCACAATCCTTCTTAGTCAGCCTATGAACATTTCAGCGCACACGGATAGTCCCACTTACCCACAGATGCCTAAACAGATACCTGAAATCGCGGATAGCATCTAAAACTACGTTTTTTCATATACACATATACCTATGATAAAGTTATATTTAGCAATTAGGCATAATAAGAGATTAATACGAATAAGAATAAAACAGAGCAATTATGGCAATAGGTTGTAATAAAGATTTTATGGGACAAACAGATTATTCGTTCTTATCGTAACTGAAACACCATACGATTGTTTTCTTTATTTAAGTCGAGAGCTTCCGTCTTTTCAGTTAACGGAAGCACTTTACGGTTTCCCGTTGACATATTCGAATTGGTAGTATTTGGCGCCATTATTAAGTTTTCGTTTTTATGTCTGGTTGACTGCGGGTGACTGAAAACAATATAAAATGGGAATTACCTGAGAAATTAAGATCAGACGCCATGTTAGGTGCAGCATCATGGCATCTACAATTATTATTGTTGTTTTATTTTCTTCGGTTTCTGGTGTGTAGTCATATCTTTCCGGATCCCGACCAGAGACCTAAGATCAGAAATGGCATCATAACATTTTACACTGAGCAACTGTGAAAAAAAATCGCACATATTCTACACAGATAAAGTCCTTCGTAAGGTGTGGGCTATTATTATTATTATTATTATTATTATTAACATTTCCTAAGCAGAGTCTAATAAATAACCCTAGTAAAGGGACACCCAGTTAGAATCTTTCCTTTTATATTTTAATATATCTACAAGACTAACTATCACGTCGCATTAAATGCATTATTATTATTATTATTATTATTATTATTATTATTATTATTATTATTATTTAGCACAGTACCAATAAAGACGGTGCGATTATTTACGTATGTATTTTGCACTATTGCCTAGGGTCTGAGTACATCATCTGCGCTCTACCCAAGATCAATGCATTGCTTTCTAGTTCAGTGTAATATCTGCAAGCTCATTGAAAAGTGTTACACGAATATATACTTTTTTTTCTAAAGAATTAATGGATTTACGTAATATACGCAGTTTAGCATCAAAACGTCTATTTCAAACAGGGGTCTCCACTAAAATAAAGTTTGAAGTATATATATATATATATATATATATATATATATAAGGGCAAAAAGAAACCGTTTATGCCAACGCGTTTCATTCCTTGAGGAGCTTTATCACGGCAAGTGTTTTATTTAGTAACCTGTATTCATTCAGTAACGTGGAGAAAAAATATCTTTACATGTTCTAAGTTTGAATTAGATAACACTCTGAAATATTCGAAAATCTTACGGCGTAAGGGAAAGCTAAAGTATGGAGGACGCTAAGTGGCAGTTTTCCGCATATTAAACAAAAGTGAATTAATGTTGCTGCTGTAGTTGTTGTAATTGAATCTTTACGTAATTATTATTCATTTTTATATATTTTTGTTTTATTTTATTTTGTTTCTTTATTTATTTTTTAAAGTTCATTAGGGAAACTTTTTTTTTAATTTCTTAAAACCATTCATAGTCATACATAAATCTGCTGCATTGAGAAATAATGACAATAATTGCTCTTTCAAGAACTTTTCATCGCAATAAGTTAGTTTCTCTCTTAATAAGTATAGCATTTTTGTGGTCGAAATACTGGTTAAAATTATTTCCGTGTATAAATAATGCCTTTGATAATGTTGAAACTTGACTAATCCATGGAATAATAATGCAACACAAAATGTACTTAGAACAAAATGTATTGAAACAAGAAAGTGTACACAATATTTACATATAGTCTTTTGTATATTCCTGGTAAGACCGTTCCTGGAAAATGTGTTGACTGAGTCGCAGTCGGGCAGAGTCTCTGGTTGAATCTCTTGATTCCTTCCTCTCTTCCCGGTACCAACCATATTTATATGGTCGGTACTCCACTATGCAAATCAGGTGGATCCTACCACAACAGATAAATTGTTATATTGGATCTCTTTCTTATGTTCATGGATACATTTTTTTTTCATTTCTGAAAATGTTGTTTAAACTTTACTGCAACTTTTGCAGTAAAATTTAAAACTAATTTTCCCACCAACAACAACACCAAATGACATGAAACCAAACGCAGATATAAGGTCATACATACCTCCTTCAATACACGCCTATTTTTCCAGGAATATCGTGGAAAATGTCTTCAGAGAAGAACATATTGCAATGTCGAAAATAACATTAAAAAGAACATCCGAACGAAATGGGCTACAGTTGCAAACGAAAATCTTTTAGAACGGTTATGTCACAAACAATCTCTACTGCATCTTATATGTGAATAAACAACTTAGTACGAACAATAATATTATTCTCACAAAAAAAAAATTCATAGGTATTCTTTCAAATAAAAGGCATTTTACTCGTGTTTTTGTTTTCTAAAAAGAAACATTTAGCGCTTGACATCTTCGAAGGTGATGCTGAAAAGCTCCCGACTGGACCTACACCTCAAGATTTGACTAAATGACCAAATAGAATTTGTTTAATTAACGAGAAATTTTCAGCACCTTTTATACGTGAGTAAACAGGCATCCTTTTTGTCTAAAATCATTTTAGGTGTGCCTGAATAAATTCAGGAATATCTGTATGCGTCACCTCCCTCGTGATCTTGCCATGAGATCAAGCAGGTTCTGAAATTTAACGATTTAGGTTGTTTTTGGATTGGGTTTCGCTATATCTATGCACCTTCGAATTTCTGTCAAATTTTCCGTCGTCTGTTACTAGACGACGGAAACTTTGACAGAAATCCGAAGGTGTATAGACATAGCAAAAGATGTCTACCAGAACAAAAATCGTTAGAAACGAGATAAAAATGTACTGAACTACGATTTAATATCTCGTCCCCTACATAACAGTGAATGCTGGTTGATTTCTACAGAGATGAAGAAGAGACTTGAAGGAACATCGATGTAGTTCTATCGACAAGTGCTGAGAATTCTGTGGATGCAACAAGGAAATTTTTTGGAAGATAGGAACTATCAGGAAGCATGTTTACAATCAGAAAGAGAGAGTATAACTTTTTGTAAAAACATAATGAGGAAAGAGTGCCTGGAGAATTTAACACTCCTAGGACATAATGAAGGTAGAAGGAAACATCAGTTGATCTGTTTAACTAATGTGTGTGAATGGATTGTGAAACAAGTATAAAAAGAGAAAAGTTAAAAGTTTCTTTTTTTACAGTAAGGTTCACCCTGTACAAGGTCCGGGAGCCACTCGAGGTAGAGGGCTCAAAGTCAGATAGGTGAGGAAGATAACGGTTAAATCGAGCCTTGAACAGGTTATGGTTGTAGTGATCGGGGAAACATCCTGTTGGGAGTCGTTTCCACATAGCAGTAGTTCGCGGGAAGAAGCTGTTCGAGTGGAACTTACTACTTTACCGATAGAATACGGAGGTAATGAGGTTGGTTTTGCTACTATGCCGTGAAAGTTTGAATTGGCGGGACCAGGGAATATAGTTCGCCCGAGCACTTTCCGTGGAAGTAGCGATAGAGCAGTGAGAAGCTTGCCACATCCGGCCTGTGGGAGAGAGGTTGAAGGGTGAGGAATAATTCGTCACCCACAGGAGCTCGGAGACGCTTTTGGACTCTAACTTGAATAGGTTAAGATTGGAGAATAAAAACAAAAGTAGTGTAAAGCCATGATCGCTTACGTTTTGAAAATATAAGGCACAAAGAAGAAGAAGAAAAAGAAAAAGAAGGTTTTGCTGTAGCTGAAGAACATTCTTATATATAGTATATTCTGATATAAATGGATATAAATCCGACAGAATGAAGAAAATATCTGGAAAA